TTTCTGAGCTCAACTTTTTTTTATTTGTTTCTGTTCTAGAGCCTCTAATCATGTCTTTCACTCTGCTCACCATCTCTGTAGTTATCTGGGAGATTATTTCTGCTTTGAATTTTTCTAGAGCCTCATTCATCGGTTTTCTTATTTTCTGTGGTATCAGTTCAGGGTGTCCAGGTGGTTGATTATCAGACTTTTCCACCTCTTTTCCTTCAGAATTTGCCTTTTGTGGGATGGAAGTCTGAGTTTGTGCCTTACTTAAATGTCTTCTCATTTTTGTTTCTGGTACTGTCCTTGGTTTAGTTCCTGGGTTGATACTTTGAAGTTACTTACTGTAAGTATCTTTGTTGATGTATTTAGAACCCTTATGGAATGACTGCTTCTCAAAGGTATCTTCCAGGTGTAGCTGGTCTTTAGAATTTGAGTCTCTAATGGCTCTGTGGTTATCTCATTTCCATTATACCAGGAAGGACAACTGATCAGATCAATCACAACACCTTTGCCCAAGTGATACAATCAGCAACATAATAGCATCAAGTACCTCTTAGAAAATGACAATTTGTGGTAGTTATTAATTTAGCACCTTTAACTGTGTGAATTAGATGAAAATCAAGGACCAACCCAACATATGTTTATAGTGAATAAACTTTTCAATATAACATCTTTACCCTCTGGAATAGGGAGTTAGAAGGAGTTGGCGAGGGAGCGATAGGTAGGTAGAAGGATAGCGGAAGGTTAGCAGTGAGGCCTGAGGACACAGGTGAGAGAAGGAAAGAGAAGAAAAGAAAAATAAAGAAGAAATATAAATTAGGCCCAGAACAGGAACACAAAGGTAGATGAAGTACAATGTGGGACAGCAAGGGAGTGAGGGAGAGAGAGAGAGAAAGAAAAGAGAAAAAAAAGAAAAAAAGGAAAAACAAAAATTTTAAAAGAGTAGAAAAAGAAGAAAAAAGATTAAAAATAAGAGCAAAAAATAGTGGTAATTTTGCAAATAACAAATAAAAGATAAAATTGAAGGGACTCCTTCAGGGTATGTCTCTGCTGTCACAATAGACAACATGGGCAGCAGTGTGCAGTTATAAGTCAATGAGGCTCAGTAAGCCAGTTACAGTCCTGTGAGATTCAGGCAGATTTCTGGCTGCAAGTTCCAAGCTGAGCTCCCTGACCTCCTGCAGGGTTGAACTGTGCAAGGTTCTATTGCAGGTTCCAGCTGCCTTTCCCCTGAAGATAGTCCAGGTTCCAATGGGAGGTGATGATCCCTCCAACTTACCAAGCATGGTGGTCTGGTGTGCCTTTATTGCAGAGATTCTCTTCACTTTTCTAGTGGGCTTCAATTTTCATCAGGGAGCCTGAGAGAGACCCTCTCTCTATTGTTCACTTCTACAGCTCAGGACAATAGCCTTTATGTCTCCCTGTGCCTCCATAGTGTGGAACCAGGTAGCTGTACAGCTAAGAGTTTCTCACGGGCTCCTGGTTGCAAGTGGGCATGGCCTGCCGGACAGAGCTGGGCTCAGGCCGGGGCACTCTGCCCATTGGGCTCTGCCCACGTGGCTCCGGAGGCAGCTCTGGTATGTTTATTTTTAAGTGATTAGTGAAACTTAAAAATTTTAGAATAGGCTTAATTTTATATTTCTACTTATTTTTATGTATCTGAAATTCAGCCTTTCAAAAAGCATAGTGTTTGTGTTAGGCATATCAGTGGTAGGAATGATGTAATTTATTATGTTTTGGGTATTTGATTCCCAGAATATACTGGGAAATCTACAAGATCTCAATTTAAATTCAACAATATATTTTTGACTTGCACTTTTTTCAGAGGATTAAAATCTAGTCACTCTCTTCTCAGTATCTAATTAAAATCTTCTGACTGAAATCTCCAGGATATACAGGTAGAGAATTTCCTTGGTGGAGCTCATTCTTGGTATAGAATTTATGTCCTTCACTAACTTAGTTTAGCTCAAGTTGGGAGGCTGATGAATTCAAATACCTGATAGGCATAGGAGGAAGACAGAATAGATAGCACTTATATTCAGGGCAGTGTCACTCCAACAATTATGAGACAGACACAGTCCCAGAGGCCGTAATGATATACTAGCCTATAACTTGGAGCAAAGAAAAGAGCAGTTGGGGTCACAGAAGTGAGGCAGGGGGTTTGCTGATGATCATGAACTGAGAATAAAAAGCATAACTCTATCAGCAGGTCCCTTAAGGGAACGATAAATAGGAGAAAAATTGGTGCGGAATGCAAGAATTTCTAACAGGCTAAGAAATTAAAATAGGAAGCCCTGAAGAAATTGATAAAAGGATAAAAGAGCCCTTGTATATGGGGAGAAAAATTATTTTGAACTTTATATTCCCCAGAAACATGGTGATAAACCGTCTGCAGCAGTATTTGTGTATATGTCCAGGAGAATCAGAAAGGCCATAACAATCGAAGGGAGCATGTTAAAAATGGGAGTTCTTGGGTCCCACTCAAAACCAACTGAAATAAAAACTGACATGTGAAACCCAGACATATGTGCTTGAAGATGCCTGCCCTGAGATTCTGATGTATCAGAAAGTTTGAGAACCACTCATGTTGTAAGAGAATTTGCTGCCATGTCGCAGGTAGAGCCTGTAAATTTTAGAATGCAGGATTTCAACCACACTCACCCTGTCCATTTGTATCCATGTCTTATCCTTGCAGTGACAGCCATTCAGTCAAAAGTACTGTGTTAAAGCTGTGGCTCCAATAACTTTTCTAATTGCTTATTTGCATTGTAAATGATTTAACAGTGCAACTAGTTTTGCAAGGACAATGCCATTGAAGTTGATTTTAGAGAGTCTGGGAAATTTCTGAGACTCATGTATTAAAGATAACTTATTTTTATAAAAATAACATTCAGGCATTTCTTTTTGCATTTGAATACTGATTCATTATTCTTTTGTCCCTGGTGCAGGGGGCTTAATGAGTCAAATAAAACAATATGAGTTTGGAAAGACACACCACATTTAAAGATCTAGATTAAAATGCTGAAATCTATTTTTAAAATTCCCTCATATCCACTCCTTTGTTTTTTAGTATTATCAATCTGCAAGACTAATAGTATTTATCAGTTGACAATTGCAGGGTGATCTACAGTTTACAAATGATCTCCATAGCCTTGACCTGTTTGGTTTTCACAGTGGCCCTGGGAGGGGAAGCAGAGCATGTATTCTTGCACTGAACACATCTACAGGGGATCTGCTATTGTTTTGGTGACTCTTCTAGGCTCTGAGGACACAACAGTGAGCAAAATCAACCCACAGTTCAGGAGTCTGGACAAAAGATTGTGATTTGGAAGTCACCACCATGAGGATATTTAAAGACAATGATCTGAACGAGGTCCTCAAAGAAGACTGTGGATCCAATAGACAAAACATAGCAAGGTAGGAAGAGAAATAGGAAAGGGTGAGGGAAGAAAGCGATTGTATGAGTCAAATCCTCTTGAGAGGTGAAATAAGAGGAAGACCTAGTGAGTTGAGTGTAGACTACTAAACTAAGAAAAACTGTGGTCACTGGATGCCCAACACCTAAATCACCAGGTTAGGCCACTTCAAAATTGCTGATGACTTCAAAGCAGCTGTTTCAATCCATCAGGCCACCACGAGTAAAATTCTGATTGGAGAGTGTTCATAGGATTATGGAGGAGAGAGAACAGAAACAGCCAGTATAACCCGTTCCCTCCGTGCTTCCGTGGACAGCAGAGCAGAGAATCAGGGCAGCAGTGGGTGAACTGTGCTACCAAGGTGAAATGAGAAACACTCCAGAATGTTAACGTGCATTAGGAAGTATTCCGTAGGGGGAAAAATTGATGATGTAGAGGACAGGAGGTTTTGAGATTCATTCATATTTCTTTAAAACCACGCACAATATTTCTTACTTTCCAAGAATCTTTAATAAGGATTCATAATTAATACTATCAATTTTCCCCCAAAGTTTGTTCCTTTAAAATACGTGAAACATCTGGAGGACAATCACTGAAAGAAAAGGAAGCAACTTTGAGGTAGTGGTTCATAGCTCTGTCTGGGGGCAAAATAAAAATAGAAAGGGGTTAGAGCCATAAATCAGTTTTTAAAGTTAAATTTTCCTATTTTTACTGAATCATAATTTTCAGTGTCTATTCAATAAGGGTTTTGGGGCAACTAAGTTAAACAGGAACCATTTTCTTCATGTAATGTCTCTTAGTTTTAATTTTCACAGCTGCTAATTATCTAGTTTTACATAGCAGCATCTTTATAGAATGTGTTTAGGTCTACAAAAGAACTAATAATTTAAATTAAATACTACAGTATTTAAAATTTAAATTTAAAATTAAGAAAAACCTTTAATTTGGGTTTGAATTTTATTCCTTTTGCAACTAAAATTAGCTTTGTAATCAGAATAGCTCAACTTTCCATTACCCTTGTGTCCCTCAGTTTGTGTCTGGCTCCCTGGTTTTCCTGAGCTCTGGTGCAGACATTTGGGAAGGCTGGATGTAAAACTTGCCTCAGGGGCCAGGAACCTGAACTCAGAGAGTACATGACATTTATATAACATGTCACCATCTAAAAGGGATGAGAACACTGGTGTTTTGGGACCAAATCCTTGCCACTATTAAGGCACCTGGGAGTGTTTTCCTAACTCACTTGTCATAAATATACTACAAGTTAACTCTATGTTTTCATTAAATGTAAGCTATTCTCTCACTGAGAAATATTAAAAAGATTCTCTATGTTCATCTCATTAAATCTTCAATTTATGCTTAAAGTTAAGAGTTTCACCTCATTATTCCACTCTAATAAAATAATACCAAGACCCCTCAAAAAGATTAGGGGCTGAAAGTCACTTGTTATACCCAAATTGACTGTCAACACAGGAGTTCCTACAAAGAATACTGTTCTGTATGTGCTTCTTTATATAAATACATATAAATTAATCTTAGATCATTTCCACCTCTCCAAAACTACTTCCAAACCCTTAAGCTGTGATCCCTGCCCCTAAGAAAGTGACAAAGAGCGTTTACTGAGAACAACAGGGTCTTCAAAGTCTCATAATTACCAATCTATTATCAAAGAAACAATAAAAATTTTTAAATTGTCTAGTTTTTAGAGGAAGGTAGTATAACTGAAGCCAAATAAGAATTTTAAAAAGAAAGTGTAGGAAAAGCTCCTAGGAAATGCCTCCAGAATTTTTACATTACATTCATTTTTTGTCACACATAATCTTTCATATCTAGTACAAATATATCTTTGAATTCCTAGAGCTAAACCATTTTCTAAGCATCTGCAATAAATTAAAATTTGATCTTTTCTGTTGATAGATTGATGCTATGCACCTCATAATTTTAAATTGAAGTGTAATTAGTGAGAATCTACAATGATTCAACTCAGCATATAATCATTAATTAACACTTAATGAACACCCATGGGTATATGTGGTAGTATTAGAAGTCAGCAAATCAGCCATAGTTTGGGGCATCTCATTTGGATCATAGGAAATTATCAACCTAAATCTGGCTAAATTTAAACAGAGATTGCCAAACAGTCATATTATTAAACTAAAAGCAAGATTCGTTAAAAACACCCAAATGAGAAACACTAGAGTATTTTTTTTCAAATATTAGGAAGCCAGTAGGCTGGGAGATTTAGCTCAGTGGTTCCAGCACCTGCCTCACAAGTGCAAGGTCCTGAGTTCGATTCCCGGTACCAAAATAAAAAAAAGAAAGCCACTAAAGGGGTAACAGATATGTGCTGTCTTTGCTGACCTGTATATTCATATATCCCAAGATAGAAAAAGAAAAGCCATATAAAGCCAGTTATTTGCTGAAGAATGTTTTGTAGTTGAAAGCAAGACTAAATGAAGGTCACTGGATTTCTCTTCAGTGGGTTATATAAATGTCTCAATGTTAGAAATCTCAATAATTCATATAGTAGGAAAAGATGGACCCTATTTGGAAGATCTGAAGGAAACAAACATTTAAACCTTTAACTTCAAAATCAGATCTGGAATTTCAGTCAGTTGTAATATGTTTGTTTAATTATATTTCATGAATAAGTGAATACAAATTTGGAGAATACATTGCTCCACGCATTAGAAGTCACTACTTATAGTTCTTTAGGATGTCTACAGCAACATACTGAAGCTCATGTAAGGAACACCTCTCAGTGGTTTACAAAAGAGCATTAAAACTAATTTGTTTATTAAGATTTTTAAAAAGTTATTTGAGAGGGCTTTAGACTATCAAACACTCCTCAGCACTACCTGTTCTGGTTTCCCCCTTCCCTTCCTCTGTTGTCTGTTGTCTGGCTCTTGGCCAAAGTTTACTACCCTTCTTTACATGTTTTCAACACAGCTCCTACTTAGAGCTCTATGGAGAACTTCCTGCCATTGTCTCTTGGACTGGAAATGTATCTTCCCTAATATGAAAGCCAGGATTACTTCACTATTTTGTGGTGATTCCCTTACAGCCCACCCACACTTTTGTAAATAATCCTTTTCTGTAGGAATCTCCTTAATTTATCCTGCTTTGAGTCTGTCACCTTTTTCAGTGAGGAGTCTGATACAGTTAAGTTTGTGCATGGGATACATTTGGCATCCTTTACATCACAACCTTCACCTCACCCTTAAAAGCCAGACAATCTAACAACTTCTCTGAAAAGGAAGACCATGGCAATCTTACTCTTAATTTAATACCACACCTATGTACATTTTATATACTTTCCGATTGCCAAGGTACTAAGATGGGTGAAAAAAGAATTTATGATGCTTAATATCCACCAGAACGTTATGATCTTATCAAAGGGGCAAAGCATGAATTGACGGAAATGATAAAAAAGCATGAACTGAACACAGTCAGAAACCATCATTTATGATACAAAAAGAAATATCCCTCATTAAGCAAGTAAGAAACATCCTGCAGTACTCCTCAAATTTGATGGTTTTTGTGTATGTTTAAAAACAAATTAATTTTAAAAAAAGAAATAAACATTGACTATGTCACCAGGAAGGATTTCTAAAAGAAAGGGAACTTAAAAAAGTGTTTGGAGAAATATTCCCAGAGTCAGGGTGGTGCTGAGAATGGGGGAGGAATGTGAGTGCATGTGAAGGCCCAGCTCAGGACAGGGTCCTCGTGGCCAAACAGGCTCATGGTTCAGGTGACTTCCCCATTGCAGAGGATCTCCGAGATGGAGAGAGCAGCTGCAAAGCATCACTTCTGAGATGAGTTCACTTTGAGTAACCCCAGAGTATCCCCCTCATCCGGGGACTACCAGTGGACACCTGAAACCACTGGCAGTACTGAGCCCTACCTGCACTATGTTTTCCCTATTATGATAAACTTTCACCTTTTTACTTAAAGGAAGCATTTGACACCTTGTCTTTGGCATATCCATTTTGCCGGTATCACTCCTCTTGCATTTGGGGCCAATGATTAAGTTAAATGAGAGTTGCTTGAATGCAAGTACTGCGATTTGCTGATAAGTTGATCTGATAACTGAAATGGCTATTAAGGGACTGTGGGCTGGGAGCTATACCACTCCCGGGCAGGATGGAGTGGGATTGTGTGAGATTTTATCACTCTACTTAGACGGGATGAAATTTAAAACTTATGAATTATTTGTGGAATTTTCCATTTAATATTTTTGAATGGAGGTTGACCACATGTAACTGAAACCCTGGAAAATGGACATGCAGATAAAAAGGGACAGCTGTAGGAGGCAGGTCCTAAACTAATTAAGAACCATGGATACAAAGACATAGTTGACTAAGATGATTAAGACATAGTTGTTCCTAAATAGCATGCTGTCTCCTCAAAGAAAAACATAAAGATACACATCTCCAATTTCTAATCCTAATAAGAACAAGGGCATTCAGCATCAATGCAAATACACCCACACACCAACTCATACACCCACACTCTCATGTATGCGCACGTAAGAATATACATCATTGCCAGTAATTATGTATCAGGCAGAAATTCATTTGTAGGTGAGATAATTAAAAAAGAAAACATATAAAGTTGGAGTCATACAAGAAATCAGTTTCAAAAAGAGGATAAAGTGCATGAGGCTTGACAATTATTAAGACATACTTTTTTGGCTATATTTACTTAGGTTTCATGTAGCAATGCAGGGGAGAAAAATATGTTAAAAATTTAAATATATGTAAAACGTTAAAGAGAATGAGCTAGATTTGTTTGGGTATCCATTTTTAGTTGGCAGTTGCAGGGATAGCAAATGATAACTTAGTCACAGGAGGGCTTTCCTTTTTCTTGCCACCTCTGAATATATTAACACTGGGAATATATTAACGACTACAAAGGAGAAAAGTTGCAATTTGAAAATCCAATATAGGAGCTAAGAGTTTAGTTAAGGCAAGTTCTTATTTAATGGCTAGGTGTCTGAGTAAGCAAGAGTTCATGCAAATCAGATGTAATTCTCTATTCATTTTGTTTTTAATTAACACCAAAAGAATCATCAGTTCCTTGCATAGTCAGTCTCTATTTTTACCAATATGTGCCCTCCTGCCCTAACCTTAACATTCTCACTCTTCCTAGAAGAAATAACAAAACTATCTCCCTGTTTATAGAGTGTAGAATAAATTAATGAGCGAGGAAATTTTCCTTGGATATGAGCTTCTGATTAAATATAGAGAGCCACTGTTTTTTCATTCCCCATCTTTCTCTTTAAGAATCAATGAACCAATCTACTACCTCCAATTATGCTGATGACTGTAGTACCCAATCTTACACACTAACAAATCTCAAAACTAGTAAGGACAAAACTTGGAGACTTAGTATTTATGTACATGAAATACGGAGTCAGTGTGGTGCAATTTTCATAGATCTTTCTGGTTTTCAGCTTATGTCGGTTTGTAAAGCTAAGGCTAGGATGGTACAAAATTTAAGGGGCACCAAAGTACCCAGTAAGCAGGATAAGTGATATTTTAATAATATATTTTTAAAAAGTTAATATAGAATATCCATAATGAAAACAATATCAAAATAAAGACAGAATCCCTACTACTGATTTTCCCTTTTGCTTTATGCTCCAACATAAAGTGATCCTGGTCCTAGTGGTTTGAATACCATCAACACCAATTGGTACCTTCTTTCTGAGGGCCATTCTGTCTACTGAGCACATCACTTCTTGCCAGATGACATGGCTGTCACCATTTATTTGAGTACAAGAAGTGATACAGAGCACTGTAAGCAGCTTTCTTACATGAATGATGACTTTTATTATGCTGGAAAAGTCTATAATGTGTGCTTTGTATGCTTAAGTTAGCACTATAATTCTGTAATATCTGTGATAGCACTTCAGTATCTTTCTTTTGTGAGAAGGATGAAAATGAGAGATGGCTTGCATATTCTCTCTTTATCATATGGCTCCTGCATGTAATTCAGTTCCTTAATGTGATGTGGTTGACTTCTACCACTGGGATAAATACAGCTTAGCAGTAACCATGGTGCTGAGATGAAGTGAGCTGATGAGCTAATTTCACCTCCTTCTTGGCAGATGTCCAGTGTTCTAATTGGCACACAGGTGACAGTGCCATGCAGATACCAAGGTGAATCAAATGAGCAAAGTGACCTGTATACATACACAATTCACATCATCTGCGTACTTGAAACCAGGCATACAAAGTCTTCCTTTTGCTTTGTGAAATGTGGAGGTGGGGGATACTGATTCTGGCAGTCCTGCTATCATGATTTATTACGTGTTAAGGTAAAAAGCCCTTCATCTGTATTTAGTAATAATGTGCAACAACAAGCTAATGTGCAACGTGAGTTTGGGAAGAAGACTGAGGTGCAGAGGAAGCCAGCTGCAGGAGAATCCTCTTTCCACACGGAGCACATGCAAGGGTGGTTCTTTATTTCTCCATTTTCAACCAGAATTAATAAGCGCATCACACAGTGGCTGTTGCTAAAGAGGAAGAAAAATTGGCAACAAGAGAGAAAGGGGAAAAGGAGGAAGAAAAGGGAAAAGGAGCATGAATGGAGACATACAGTATTTTGTAATCACTCTGAATCTTTTCTGCAGGGATAAGAGGATTTGAAAAAAATCCCACATGAAGTACGTAACTGGTATAATGTGTCCAAATTGGTGGCTGACCACACAACCGGAAGAAGATCCAAATGACCCCCCTTCCTTTTCCCTTTTTCAGTAAGGTAAAACTGGATCCTTCACCTTCTTTTCTTGGTATTTTACAATTCCATGAAAATTATTTTAAATAATTATGGCCCTTATCCCTGCTACAGCACCCAGAATATCTCTAAAATTTTTCCTAATAGAAGCCAAAAGCAAATCAATTTTAATTTAAGCAGCTTTGGGTAATTAAGTTTAATAAAAATCAAGCGACTAGTTTTAGAAGGTCTTCTGTCACTTGAGCATAATTTTGGGTTTGCTTCTACAATTAAGGGCAACAGCTAAGCATCTGTAATTTGATTTTTTCCCTCACTGGTCTGTTTTTGAGTCATGTGATATAAAAGTTCACTCATCAACAAAATGCAATTACCTGAAAATTTTAAGTCAGCAGCTATTTAATAATATTGTGACAAGAGCACTTTTAGTAGTTTATTTTCACAGGACTAATAGTCATGTCAGGGAATAGCCACTTAAGCCACTGAAACTAATCACTTATTTTGAATAGCTTTGCTTTCTTCCTGATTATTTTTTGCGTTGAGAAAATAAACCACATAAAAATAGTATGAAGCTTTAATATTTAATTTTAAGTGCCAAGTTAAACAATAGGTATATTTCATTCATTAGTCCAAGCAAAGGAAAAATATTTCTCAGTTTTTAAATTTGCACATCATTAGAGGCATTATATTGCAATAAAAATCAGTACTGGTGTAAATAACAATTTAAATTCTGTCAAATTTTCTTTAGTAGTATTTCTCAAATAGTCTTTATGGTTCAGTTAGAGATTCCATATGGGAAAAAGTTAGCCAGAATCAAATACATCTGAGAAAATACAGGTTACAGGTTAACAAGTTTTGTGTTGTATTCCTTAGAACTTTCCAGTCTTATTTAGAAGTGTTCTATAAAATTCTTATTATAGCCGGGGATTTAGCTCAGTGGTTCTGCTGCCTGCCCCACAAGTGCAAGGACCTGAGTTCTATCCCTGGTACCAAAAAAAAAAAAAATTCTTAGTGTATCAGTTAGCTTTTCCATCACCGGGATGCAATGCTCAACACTTAGAACTTAAAAATGGAGAGGTTTCATTTGGGTCATGGTTTCAAGGAATTTAGTTCAAGGCCAGCAGGCTCCAAGGCAGAAGCATGGCAAAAGGGCATGGCAGAGCAAAGTTGCTTAGTTCATGGTGACTGTGAAACAGAGAGGGGAGCAACCCAGAGAGAAGAACCCAGGAACCACATGTAGCACCCAAGGTCATGAATCCAGGACCCACCCAGACACATCCACAAGTGTGCTTTACTAATCTGCTTGGTGTTTCTTAATACAATCAGATTGAGATCATGATTAGCAGTCATACCAAGAGAGAATAGTATATGCAAGCTCTCTTGTATACTGGATTAGGGAAACTTTGTGAATCATCTTAAGAGTCTTAGGGGGAAAAAACCATAAGATTTTTTAGAAATAAAAACAACAATTAAGAGTTTAGTTTTATACTGTAATAGCCAAGCTACAGTAAAACCAACTTGAAACAGTCCAGCACTTATCAGAGACTTTTAGATTTTTAGATGCTTTTGGCCAAATAGCAAAGTGTTTAGTTAACTGGAAAAATTATTTGACCTAGCATTTCTCTGAATATGGAATATAAAAGTGTACAAAATTTCTTATTTAAGAAAGACATTAAATACAGAATTTTTGGTCTTATCAGTAATTTAGGAGAAACACACACACACACACACACACACACACACACACAGCTCATTCCTATCCTTAGTTAACTATTCTTAAAGCATATAGGAAAGTAACCTGTTTGTTAGTGAGAAACACAAAAAAGAAAACTGGAATATGGGACAGAACAATTAAACCCATCACCAAATCTCAGATCAGTTTCAACTGGGAAGTTTTAAGTTTTTATCAAATTTCAAAACTTTGGTCACATCTGATTGGCTTTGCTCACTCCATTTCAGACAGTACTGACCGTCTCTTTGAAAACAGATTTGTGATCCAGCCTAAGGGGAATGCACTGCAAATAAGGACAAGCCATGTGATTACCAGAGCATGGAGGTTTTATTTTCTTCTCTCAGGCAACCTTAAAACTGAGTGGCCAGTTTAAAGCTGGACGGCTACATGAGAAGGGGAGCTATGGTGTTGTATCAACCTACACTGGAATGTGGAAGTGTAAAGGGCTTGGATTTGCTCAGTATGACCATTTGGAAACAAAACTTCCTGAGAAAGAAAGTATCATAATCTCTAACTAGACAGACCGGTAAGTAGGCTGCAGTGGTTAACTGGTATATTCACCATCTAAGATTTACAGAGATTTTGAAGATCTTCAGGGGTCTCTACTGCAATGCAAGTGTCACATATCAAAGGTGCTCTGAAAAATGGGATTCAGTCAATATGTCCTATTGACAGTTTAGTAGATGGATTACCAACAAAATGAGTCATCTGTTCTGATTAGTCCAGCTACAATAAATATTTTCTTTCCTTTTGGCAAATAAATTGCCTATTGGCTGCAAGCTGAACATTCCTGGAGGAGCAGTATTGCAATAAATTCTTTAAACCTATTGGTAAGTTAGTCGGAGCAATAACTTTCTCATATGTGATCTCAAATTCTTTGCTGAATAAATAAAATGCACCACACAAAAGGCAAACTGCGGCCTAAGAATGTTGCTGATCACACGCAAGTTTTCAGGACTTTGTAATATCTGAAATCCAAAAGTACGATGTGAAAATCTGGCCACCCATCAGATGTCTTGCTAGTGTACTTTATGATAGATACCTGGAACGTGAAGAAGAAAATTTATTATGGGTTTAAAGTACTTGTCAGTTATTTTCACTGGGCTTCCATAATGGAACCTGGTATGAAAGAAATCACCCAAACTGCCTTCCTACTTCTTGTTCTTCAACATAATGCAATAACAGCAAATTAATTTCAAGGCAGGTCTCTTTCCAACTGGTAAGTCATTTATTTCTTTAATTTTTACAGTATATTTCTAGAACTAAAAACTGGAAAGTATGATCTACCTAGAAGAAATGAAGATAACTGCCCCTGAAAGAAAACCAGGTGGCTGTACTTAGCAAGTTAAGGTACTCAGCTGGCAAAGAATTCACTGTGCCTTCCAGGGTGTAGGGCACGTTTGTAACTGAGAAGATGTACTAGGAGTATAAATGGGAGGAGAGCATTTATTGTATGGTCACTATATGCCAAGCATTGTGGTTGGTATGCCACATAATTTATTTTATTCATTTTTCCCGTTTTGAAATTTATTTTAAAAAATTATATCAGCACATATTACTTACACAGAATAATGAGTCTTATTGTGACATTTTCATGCATACATATAATACACTTTGGTCATAGCCAACCCCCAACTCTTGGCAGTAATCTTGGAATGTAGGTTTTATAATCTTCCTACAGATGAGGTAACTGAAATTGAGAAATATGGAGTAATTTATTGTCACACAGTGGTCCATTTCTCCAGGATCAAGGATTACACTAGTATTTTTCAGTCTGCTTGTTTTAAGTATGTGGTAAGGTCTATAAAGAGGTCCAGACAAATCACAGGGCTCTTTGTGGTGGAGGTAATAATTAATAACAGTGTATTTCAAGAAATGTTGAAGCAACTTAATTTTATTCAGGCCATTTTTGTTTGGTTCTCCAACTCATTTTAAATGCCATAAAGGTCCCCTTTAAGACCTGTGCCCTTTCTTCCTTCCTTCCTGTTTCTCAGACATGAAAACATAGCTTGGGCCAAGAATTTAGCTCAGTGGTTCCGCCGCCTGCCTCAAAAGTGCAAGGTCCCAAGTTCCATCCCTGTTACCAAAAAAACCCAAAAAACAAACAAACCAAAAGAAACATTGCTTGCTGCCAGCTAACCTACTTTCACTCATCCCTCCTTTCTACTTAGTCAACTGTTTGTATGCCTTGAGTTTTTCTTATTTCTAAAAATGTGAATAGGTAATTCAAGAAAAAAGAAGATCTCAAAGGAAGTAAACTGGGAATACATAACATTCTATCTATTCCCTTGGAGAAAACACAGGGCATAACAGCACATTTAAAACACTGAAAAGTTATTCAGTGAAAAACTAAGTAGTATACATCACCATTTCCTAAATTTATTAGATCTAAGGCAGTTACTTCCCTTTTATACCATCAGAAAATTTATGTGAGGTACTCAGTTTCATAAATACTAACATTTTGTGGTACATACAATAGAAAGCATTTAAATATGGCCGCAAAATAACGATGTTTGGTGTTTCTGTAAAAAATAGTTTAGAAAGAGGTGGATGCAAAGGGTGAGGGAGAGAGAGGGGAAGGAAAGGGGATAGAAAAAGGAAAGAATTGAAGAAAAAAACTTGAAATAGAGCTTTGCAAATGGGAAGGGGTCCAAGAGTGGGAAGGGGCCAGGAGGGATGGGAAGGGTAGGAGATGAAAAAAGAATTAAGATGTGTTATGTACATGTACCAACTCCCCACGATAAGTGTGCTACATTCATACACTAATCAAAAAGTTACATAAAATTACTATTGAATAAAATAAGTTGTGGGTAAGACAACAGTAATTCTTGGTTTAAAAATCACACCTCAATAAAAATGACTTTAAAAACAGGCAAACTAGGAGGATTTTGAGCTCACACTGCTTCATAAATTCAGTGCATAAGCTGAGTCTAGAAATTATAGGTAATGAATTATGGGATAAATGTATGCCAAAAAAAGGCAAGGAGAAAATCAATCGTTTGACCTCTACTTAAAGAAAAAAGCTTGGTCTCACATCAAAATTGGCAAGTGCATATTCGCTTAAATGTTTTAAATTAATATAAAATCATCTACATTGTGTATATATAATTTCACACTTCTCCAAATTCAACCAATTTTTAAATGGGCTAATTAAATGAATATCTAGAAGTGGTGATTAATGGCTTCAGCTGTGTGGGTATGAAGTTATAGGAGCTTATCCTTCTTAAGAAAAATGGCCTTTTCTGCTATGGCAAAAAAAAAAAAAAATCATATGGTGCTCAAATGTGAGTGGAATTTGAAAGACTGACTTCATTCATCCAAAGACACCAGCCCTGGAATCCCAGACTCAGCCATTTTGATCCCTAGGAGAATCCATTAACCTCCTGGTGCTAGGGACACTGCCGTCTCAAGAAGGTATTGTATCAAAAATGATCTGCAGGACATAGCAACTTTAAATTCTGCACTTCACTTAGATTTTCATGTAAATGTATGCTGCTTCTGATTGCTGAACACTTTATTCTTTCCCAAAGTGTTGGATGAAAGGATTAGGGCTCTTCATATCACATATTTATCTTGAGAAAGGAAGGAAATATTTGATATTAAGAACAAGGAGAAAACATACTGAAAGGAAGGAAACATTTGATATTAAGAATGTGAGTACAAACAGGGAGACATTGTTTAAACATCATTACAGACCACATTTTCTATTTGATAATTTTCTCTGGCTGCTCCAATTTTACTTTGCACCATAGGTTGACATGATAAACATTTAAATATACATATTACTTTAGTCATCTGGTGTCTTTGGTATGTTAGTCATTTTAATGCTGTATAACTTAGTTCATATTTTCACTAATATCTTTATCATCTTAATCATTCTGTGAATATCTTTACTATCTGAGGTGTATCATATTTTTGTACTATCGACCAATATGAAATAAATATAAATTGTATATTACAAGTGACAATCCTGAATTTCAAGAATATTCTAGGATCTTGAACAGCATTGGAAAGAAGCTAAACTTATAAATTTAGTGTTCATTTTAGATTTAATTTTACCAGGGGATTTGACCAGATAATATCTCAAAGTATATTTTGTCTGCAGAGCTTATTATTTTTGCTGCATAAAAAGTCTTGTTCTTTTAATCCTTGGATACTATTCAACACCCTTTATCTGTTAAAAATAATTTATCCATCTTTTCTTTTTCTACATAATCGAAATAGTCATTTAAACAGCAAATAAAAACTGGTGACCCCTGCAACTATAGGCTAAGGTGATGATAGAACTGAAAGAGACCGCTGAGTACTGCTTGTGGCCCAGCCAAAGCCATTTACTGATTAACTGACCTTGTCCCAAGTGCATGGGAGGTGAAAATGTATTTTAGTAACCCGTAGGATTTTGTTTGCTTTCTATTTGCTTTGTAAAAGATTCCTTCTATTCTATCTAGGGTAGACCCCATTTCCTCAGTTTTTCTTTTTTTAAAATTAAGGTTCAAAAAGAAAAGTGAAGAGATGTTTGACTCTTGGACAGGTTACTAATATGCTTGTGTTAAAATTCCCAGAAGCAAAGCTACCTGGTTAATCATTTTTAACTGCAGAATTCAGCACAGTTGTATCTTTAGCCACTAAAACTTTATACAAGTATTAAATCACTCCAACTTGGATCAGGAAAACTGTTTAATTTATCTCTGAGTATTTGTCTTTACATAAGAGAAGTGGTCAGTCACCGAGGTTCCAGCTCTGCCAGCTCTCCAGCTCTTCTGGCTCAATTTCTTTTAATATGTCAGTCTTTATTCATGTCCATAGCCCGACATTTTTTTTTTTTTGGATCATTTACCCAATGCATCTTTTTTTGATCTTAAAAGAAATGTATCCTAGACTAACTCAATTTAGAATGGGCATTTCATGAATTCCAGCTGCAGTCAGCCATCTCGTTCTTTAATCAAGAAAGAGTGTCAGGCCATGTGGATATAAACAATTCTCTGAGATGTGTGCGCACATGTTTGTGCACAGAGCTGTTAGTGATTGGTGCAAAGGGCAGGGGAAAAACATTCTGTGGTCAAGTCAAGCAAATTGTGCTGAAGTTTTATCAGGGAGTTGCTGACACTCCCTTGAGCTGACCTACTCTGTGTGTGAGAAGGAGGCAGCTCTGGCTCTGTTTTCCCATTTTCAAACAAGAGTAAAAACATTGGCTTAATAATAAAAATAGCAGTGAAAAAAAAGTAATAAGAAAGTATTTCAAGGGGAATAGTTGTATTTTAATATTTTTGTCACAACTTCCTTTAGAGATTTTTCATAAAATTAAAAAAAGAGAAATAATGTCAGGCATAAACTGACAGTATAGGAAGTGTCTGTCTGCTCCATCCTTACCTTCCACTCAAACCACAATAGTTATGATTATGCGCGCGCACACACACACACACACACACACACACACACACTTCTTTTCTTTTCTCTTCTTTTTTTCATCACTTGTCTCTGCTCTCAATTTAACTGCTCAAGATATTGAAAAATTACAGAGGAAAA